ACCACTGCACAGTGCACACAGTGGTATGCGCAGAAAAGTAAAAATTAACATCTTTTTTCATTTTTACGATTTTTCATCATACGGAATAGCCCTGAAATGCAACGGAAATTAGGACTTACATGTTTCGCCATCCATGTTTTTCAAACAAACTTCCCGTGTTAATAGCGAAAAATGAATTAAATGTGAACTAAAATATTTTGCTTGTTCTTTTCAGCTAGTAACTAAGGGGAAATGAATAAAAAATGAATAATGTTTCAATGAATCGAAGTTTGAATATATATTTATAGGAAAAGATGCTTTGTATGTTAAAACTAGAGTAGATTTTTTTCTATTTTGAACAATAAATTGTAGATATATATTTAAATCTATTTTATTAATTTTTTAATAATCTTTTTGTTGGGCACGACTATTTTCTTTCGACTGTTCGACTGCCATTTTAATTTTACGTAGAAATAAAGAGTCTTACGGGAGTAAGACGAACTTTTCCGCACGGTGGTAGTTGCGTATTCTATTAAGAAAGTTCAAAATAATATTTGTTCGATTTTTCAAGCCTTTCAAGTGGCGAAAGTTCGAGACAAAAAAATAACATTCGAAGGGTTTGGAGAAATTTCAACCAAAATTAAGGGTATCTCCCATACAAAATATTCGTTTAATTTTGTATGGGAGGTACCCCTAATTTTAATTGAAATCTCTTCAAACTTTCAGAATGTTATTTTTTTGGGTAAAAAATAGTCTGTGCAAAGTTTCACGTCATTAAAGTAGCATACAGGCATGGCTCCCATACAAAAATTCAATTTTTTGTGATTTTTTCAAGGAAACTGTACCAAAAAATAATTGTATCTCAAAACTAACCACGGATTCGGTTTTCTCGTGCCAAAAAACCCCCCAATACATATTTTTGAGTGTTTACTGTTTAGGTCTACATATAGTATGACTTTTGGACGAAAATTAGACTCTTTTTCATAGGTATCACTCCAAGCATGACTACAGATTTACCAGCATTGAAATTGTAATGTTACTAACCATTACATTAACATAAACGTCTGTAATAGTTAATAAAATTATAATAGCTATTAATGTAATACTAACATCTAACATTACAATTTCAATAGCTAATACCGATGTCTTGTTACAATAACAATGTGTTATCCGTGTCGTTAAAAATCTATCATTAATATTGAGACTTTTCAACACAACTTTAAGTTGAAAATATTTTTACAATAGATGGAGTTTGTGTCTGCTCTAAGCTCAGCATTGAAATTGATTGGGTTGATGAGCAATATCAATGATGAGCTTAGAGAAGACAAAGGCGCCATCTATTGTAAATATATTTCCAACTTTAAGTTGTATTGAAAAGTCTTATTATTAATGTTAGAGTTTTGACATTAGCGGCAGCGTTGAGTATCACATTATTATTGTAACGAAGCATTGCCCGTAATGTTATAAGAATAGCAATAGCTATTACTGGTAATGCTAGAATCTAACGTTACAATCGTAATGACGTTACTGTAATGCTTTGTTACAATTGTAATGTGTTACTGCAAAATGTAAATCTGTAAGCATGACATTTTTTTCCATCAACCAAAATCGCTCAAAATCTAATGATTTCTATTCCTCGGGACCCCCAATCATCCTGTGAAGTCAGTTTTTGAATTACTTTTCTTGTTTGAAAGTTATCGTATTAACAAATTTTTGCGTACATGGTACAGGGTACGCACATACATTCGGACATACAAAAAACGCTAGATTCGTATTCCCTGGCCCCAAAACACATAGAAAACACATTTTTGATGGGTGTTAATTTTTCGACCGATTCCAATACTTTACCTTATACCCTAGGTGTGTGCGGAAAAGTAAAATAATAATGTCGAATTCATTGATAATTTGTACCTGTTCGAGATTTTCAAATGAATGTATTGGATTATTCTTAAATCATGTTTATATTCAGGTTTTTAAGGTACCCAGAATCAATATTTAAGAACAAACGACAAAGGTCATTCTATAAACAATACATTCCAATTTTGTCTTTTGACTTGTTTGCTTCATTCTTTGAAAACACTAATAACAAATATCGGTCAAGTTCTTAGCTATTTGTACCTGCAGTCGAATATTGGCATTGCCAAATGTTTGTGCTGATTTTTTTTGACTGGAAAGTAATGAATATTTAAACACATTTGAGATGTGTATCCATCAAATATTTGTCTGCGAACAAACATGATTTATCATTTTGATGGAATGAGTGAAATTTCGTGAAAAAACGAATATTTTTCTTTTTGTATTCTGCCAATGAATAAGCCTGAAAATCGAAAACACAAAAAGTCGTAATAAATAGAGTTTTATTCATAAGAAAATAAATCAAACACAAAGCTTTGTATATGTTAAAGCGGGAGTAACTTTTATTAAAACATTTCTTAATTGGAGTAACATGTTTTTAATCCATTTTATTCTTTCAAAAATAATTTGTTTCGACTACCCGATGGCCTTTTACATCTACGAAAATTCAAAACAAAACGATGAATTACATTTATTAAAAATACAATTTTGGTCGCATCGGATGCTTCGAAAGCGGATAAGAATCGTTGCGCTTGATCTCCACTAAACCGTAACTGTTTGTCGACGAATTGCATTTCACTTGCAAATACCAGTCTTCTTCCACGTAAATGGTCAATTTACATGCGTTCTTCACTTTGCGACGTTCTTTATCCAACGATTGTAGTGTAGACGTTATATATTTGATAAGTGAAGCATTACACCACTGTACATAAATAATTTTCAGTTTTGGTGAATGTCTCACAAATGGAATGAGCCCATCGATCGAATGAACAAATACTGTGCGGAATTCTTCCAATTCTGGCAATTTGTCTGCCAAACATTGAATCTGATGATCACTGAGAATATTATTATAATAAAGATATTTTAGATTTGGCATGCGGCTAAGCACATCGACTGTTGTTTCGCGATAGCTGTTTTCATAAAACTCTATGTGAATGCTTTCTACAAACTCAATCTCTGGAAACTTTGGATGGAAGAAAAAGTCCTTATCAAAAATGTGCAAATGTAATATTTTAATCTGTCGATTTTTATGAATTGAGTGTAGATTTTCGATGATCTTTCCCACATTGTTGCCCTTTCTCATCCTTGATATTCTCAACACCAAATCATCTAAATTAATGCCGGTTTCAAGAAGCCAGTTCGTCGTTGTAATTGCAGGACAAAAATTAGCAGAAAATGCTCGAATATTTGGATTTCTCATAAAGAGCTCCTTCAGAGCAATCGGAATATCCTTTGGATTCCAATTATTTTGTTTCCATTCTAATTGCTTCAACGTTGGATATGTATGTGAAAATTCTTCAGATCCTATTTTATGCAAACTAAGGTACTCCACTTTTGTACAATATTTCAACAAATTATTAATTGAAGAACAATTAACTAAATCAACGATTTCAACATTTTGCAACACATCTTTTGCGTAGCTGCAATGGATTGCGTTCATTTTTGCCTGATGTTCATGGCTCCCGAATTGAATCATTTTCACATTTCCATTCATTTTCTCTCCAATCTGTTTAAATGTCTCAATTTCAGCGTATGAAGAGACTATTTTTGACATGCAAAATTTGAAAGTTTGAAATTTTGTGTCACAAACTTCAACTTTAAGATTTTCACCAAATTTGGACATTTCAAGCTTTTTATCTTTATATGTTCGATGGAAATGTTGATTGGCAAGTATAGAAAATCGTTTGCATGTCATTTTTATGTTGACCAGTTCTTTAATCGTCAACCAATCAAGAATTTGGAGAATACAATCGTCGTTCAATGCACAAAACTCGGTTTTTGACATTTTACTTGTGATTTGATTTCTTTTACATATCTTTCGCCGCTTTGCTTTATTCATCCTGAATACAATTTTTGATGACTCTGTTGTTAATAATGTCCACGGATCGAAATTGAAATTAAATTCGTCGATTTGATGGAACTCAGTCAATTACAAAATATCAACGTTATTGATGATAGTGTAATGTTGAATTTAGCACAAAATAACTTTATGAATTTATTATTTTTCACTGTAAAAACTGACTTGAAATCGAACTAAGTTTCCTTCCTTCTCTATAGCTTGAAAAATTTCAATTAATAGATTATTTCAAATTTTATTTTTTTCAAATTTTCGATGAAAATTCAGAGATTTTAAACACTTCAGAGCAGAGATTCAGAGATGTTAAACCCATTGTACTGATGGTAAGAAGCTGTTTTTGGTCCTTTTATAGTCTGTGAGTCATATTTTTTTACTGTCATTATCATTAGTTTTTTTTAGTCATTAGTTTGTCCGAGAAATGAACTTTGTTTTCTATCCCCTTTTTTTATCTTGCTGCTTTTCTTAAGACGGTTTCTACCTGCTAAACATAAAAAGGTCCATAATACAATGCTAGTTTATTTTGGTGTCAATACATGGTAATCACATGCAAATTTCTCAGAAAAAATCGATTTCAATTCAACCTAATTATATGAAATGTGAACCTTTTTTGAGTAGAAGCGATACGCATGGAAGAAAGTTTGAAAGAAAAGAAATGGTCATTAAGTACTATCAACAGTTACATTAAATGGACCCAATAAACGAGAGAATTTCAAGAAGAGTCAATAGAACAAATAATTAGCACATTTTCACCTTTAAAAGACAGTGCAGATCAGTAGTGTGCCTATTTTAGTGTACCTATTTTAGCTATTTGGATCAAAAAAACTTCGATTTATTAAAATGTGGATGAGACCGGACAATATTCTGCAATATAAATTATTTGATTGAGGCAAAGAGAAGATTCTTTTTGAGGAATTTTGTTGCCCGAAAAACAAATTTTTGAACAATAGTCAAGTCATATATTTGGAGAAATCGGCAGAGTTTTTCAGCTAAACTTAAATTTAGTCATAAAGTTCTTTAATTTTGTCATTAAGTTCATGGAATTTATCTAAATTTGACATTTTTTTCTTAAGATACTATCGTTTTTTCAAAATTATCATTTGAATGATTGTGTTAAAATTAATGCAGTTTTATTGATGTATTATATGATTGTAAAACTGGAGCAATGCCAAGTCAATTATTGGTCGTCTGCCATGTTCTTCCATGCATTCCTGTGACGAAAAAAAAAACAAAAGAATTTTTAATTATGTTGGAATCGTCAAGATTACAAAGTGTCTTCTCATTGTGAATTCTATGCAAGCAATTCTCCTTTTTCCTGCCCAAAAATTACTGTAACTCACCACATTTGTGCGCATGGTTTGCTGCACACGAGATTTTCTTTGCCATCTTCACCGCAGCAAATGCACCGCATTGTTGCTTTGGATTTTTCCTCGAGTTGTGCCCGTTCCGCTGCGGCCGTTCTTCGAATACCGATCACGATCTTTTTGTATTTATCGGTCAGTTCACCTTCAATCGTGTCTTTTTTTAGGATCAAATCTTGCATATCACGTTCCATCTCGGCAATTTGCTCGGCATGCTCCATTTTCAAGCGTTCCATTTGTGCGTTGAATTGTTCTTTTCCATTTTCAATCTCGATCACATGATTACACTGCAATTCAGCCACTCGGCGATTATGTTCTTTTTCAGTTTTTTCTTGATAATCCCACAGCTTCTTGTGAAAGTCGGCTTGGAATTGTTCTTTCATTCGTTCCATTTTCCCGAGACATACGCTTTCGGCTTCAAGACGCATGGCCTTCAATTGAGCGGCCAATTCGTCATTTTTGGCATGATTAACTGGATTTCCGTTTTCGTACTTTTCTTTCATTGCTTGCAATTCGGCGTTCAACGCATCACACGTTGATTTGCTGCTGGCAATCAATGCTCCAACATTATCTTCAAGCGATGACAGGATATCGACGGTAATTTCGCTTGATTTCGTTTGATTTTGATCTATACGTGGGTTTTCGTCATAAGAAGCCAATGGGTTGATTGGCATCGGCAATGATGGAGTATTCATTTCGACAATTCCATTGCCTTGAGCCATGAATTGAGTATTCAATTCAACGTTTGCATTATATTTGATTCTCTTCTCTTCAATCTTGCATACTTCATCGTATTCACGCTTTATTTGGACTGATCCCATAGAATTGCCGCACAGCTGAGTTGCTGCCATAACATTGGATCGTCTTGGCACAAATGGATTGCGTTGCATTGTATCGAACTGATACTGATCGAACCTTTTTTCTTCCTTCACACCCTGGCGATATTTGAGAGAAAATGATTATTTTCAGGAATGGAAAAAATTTAATTTGAAGAAATTGATCTCATGATTATTACATGTCTGACCTTAAATTGGTCTCATTGCTTCTACTTAAAAATCACTTCAATACTTACAGATTGAACATTAAATTTGTGTTCATCGAGCGTAAAATTTTTGGAATCCATGTCAAACAGCAAATAGTATGAAAATTTTTGTTTAAAAATAATTTAATTGGTTAAAAATTAATACGAACAAAAAGCAACACATGGACGCGCAAAATTATGTTGAGGTTAAAGACGCTAATTCTGTCACGATGCTTCAGAGATGCCCTTTAAATAAGTGGATTAGTTTAATGAAAAATTCTTGAAGTCACTTATTCGAAATTCTGGTCGTTGATTCAATTTCTTTTAAATTGTAAATAATTGATGTCAAATTTTTACTTTTCCGCACCACTAGTATAGGAAAGGTATTTTGAATTGATTTAAAATAATCTTTTGAAAAATACACGAATTTCTTTTCCTCTTCTGAAATAAAGTGTGAACAATTTCAAATTGTCGCCTTCAAAGTGATCTGATGTAAACAGAAATTCAATGATTTTATGTAAATAACAAATTGCTTTTACAAATATCGCTAGGGTTTATTGGTGAAGCAAATTTTGAATACAACAGAGAATAAGTTCAATTCAGCCTTATGACACCGATGATATTCACACTCATTCAAAAAATTGCGCGCAATTTCCAAACGTCTAAACAAATTGATTTCTATGCAAAAGATTTCTCAATGTAGAATGAATGAAAATAGCAAATAAATCGCGATACATTTGACTTGGTGCATAAATCAGCGCTATTTGGCTGTGTTTATTGTTTAAAATCTGATATTTATATTGTTGTATGTCTCATACATTGTTCATTGTAGATTTCATGCAAATGAGAATACAATGTATTCGTAGAATTGTATTTGCTTTATATTTTTTGTAAAAAAAAAATCAAATTAATTAAGATGCGGTTGCGAAAGATGAAGTAAATATTTACTGATTCTACATGGGGAGTCGCTCTCGTTTCGCAATATCGATATGAGTGAACATGGTCAATACACCGACTCTCACATCAATATGTGAGATATTTTGAATGAGCGTCTGATATAGATATACCACTGCCGACGGCGTCGTTCTTTTGACATTGGGTATTTTGAATATATAAAACTTAAAAGCTACATGTATTAAATCGTAGAGCGTAATTTTTTTGTTTTGTCTGTCAAAATTGTATGGATACAAATTTTGTTATTTTTTTAAATTAAAATAAATCGGATTCAGTTAGTTAGTCAGAACCAGAATTCTCTATTTCTGAATTAAAGTTGACTATTGTTTGGTGATTTTGTGACGATTTTCTGTAGCTTTTTTTACGCTCTGTTTTAAATAAAAAATGATTTTGTTTTCCATCAGCTTAATTTGAGGATGATTGAAAATCAGACATTAGGCTCGAGCTATGCATATAGCGGCTGCTATTTTATAGGTGCTATTCATAGGCGCTATTTAATTCGTGTGCTGTGTGTAACACCGAGTAGGAATATCATAGCCTACTATTCTTTTGTACATTTGAATGTGAGTACGAGAGAGATGTAGAAAATAACGCACAATATGCATAAATGCATTAAAACGAGATAAATAGCGCCTATGAATAGCAGCTATGAAATAGCGGCCGCTATATCCATAGCTCAAACCTAATGTCTGTTGAAAATCTAAAAAATGGGCTTTGGCCATTCAAATTTGGAATTGTTATATGAATGTCGTTGCCGTCATTCTATTCATCTGGTTTGGTTACTTTGTTCTGGGCCTTGTAGATGTTCCTGTAAAATGCATCAAAATTGATAAAAAAACATTCACCTCCAACTAAGCTTGTCTGAACTTACCACATCTTAACGCATTCTGTGCTGCAAAAAAACTTGTGGTTGAACACTTTTCCGCAGATGCAATAGATCCTTCCTCGGTTTTCGTCCAACAATCGTGCACGTTCGGTATTTTTGATGCCAACCACAATGCCTTGGTACTTATTTTCAAGACTGGCCTTCTCATCAGCCGCAGCTTGAATTTGTCGTTTCATTTCTGTCACGATTTCATTGTGTTCCCTTGTCATTTTATCAATTTCATCGATTGCCCATTTCTTTTCCAAATCCAATTCAATTCGATGGCTCTTCCGCAAATCGTTCACAATACGATTTCGTTCTTTTTCAAATTTCAATTCAGTTTTCAACACTGCTGCACAGTGTTGGGCCCGGAATTTTATTTTTAGCTCATCCATTTGATGTTCGTGCTCTAATTTGGCATCGGTCAGTGCAGCGTCTTTATCGGTTATCATTTTGGCCACCAAGCGATTGGCCTCATTCAAATCCTTTTCAATTTGATCAACAAATTGACCGTTCTTTTCACCATGCTGCTGTTTGGGTTGTGTTTCTCTAAGCTGTTCATTTGCTTTGATTAACAACCGCCTTAAATTGTCCCGATCCAATCTTATAGCCTTTAATTGTTCAATTAGTTCGTTATTTTTAGCCAAATGAGCAGCTGCCCGAATCGCCTGTGACGATTCTGATAACTTTTGTTTGTTGACATTGAGAAGCTTGGTCAGGCTATTGTCAATTATTGACAGCATATCGGTGCTCATGGTTTTTACACTTTCTTCAAGCAATTGTTTACAGTGCAAGTGCCCCCAAATCAATGAGTCCCCGTCGAGTGACGATTCAGGGACCGGTGGGGTTTCAACATCAGAGGCTGATGTCGGTGTTGTTTCAACATCAGATGTTGTTAGGGCGTCGATGGCGATCCGTGGACGCTTCTTTGCAATGACCGGTTCATCAACGCTGTCCCCCGATGTCGTTGCTACGAAGTGATTTTCATTGTAATTGGGGAACATAGCCTTGTGATGATCGTCAAATTTATTGTTATCGAATCGAGTATGAGGCAATCTCTTATTGACTTCGCCATGCTTTTTCTTCACGTTGGCCGCATACAATTCCAGCTCCTAATAAGAGAACAGACATGAAAGAATTTAAAAAAAAATCCTTCAACAACAATGACCAATTCCAGTTCAACTGTTACCTGCAGAGCCGCTTTGATATCGTCCGCGTCAACATTGATGTTTGACAAACTTGGAACGTCAATCGAGTAAAGTGAGCATTGCTTCGATGGGATCACATTAAATTCGGTGTGATCGAAAAATACCACTTTGATGTCGTTCTCAAAGACCGATATCAGCTTGGCTGGCCAATGCGAATAGCCCTTCTTAGCCGGCCAAAAATCAGTGGATCGATTCAACTTGGCCCAGCTAAAGCGGCGTAACGACAATGATTTTAGTCTAGAAACAACTTCAAACTTAGAAGCAGAGTTTTGCTCAGCGCTGCTGCCATCTACAGCATATTAAAATATCTTGCTGAGAATGCGTCGTCTGTCGCATGTGAAGGTACGTAGCAGTTTATACATCACAGCGAACAACAATACATGCATTGTTCTCTAATCAATCGTTTGAATGTTTTGAGTCACATAATCGTGAAGAGAACAATGCATACATTCTTGTTCACTGTGATGTAAAAACTGCTACGTACCTTCGCATGCGACGGACGACGCATTCTCAGCAAGATATTTTAGTATGCTGTGGATGGCAGCAGCGCTGAACAATACTCTGCTTTGAAGGTACTAAAATATCACACTCACAGTAGAAGATGAGGCTTGCCACATGCCATTGTGCGCCATTTATCCGGACGAGTGTACTTGTTGCGATAGCATTCGGCACAGCTTAAAATCGAATTGACTTCAGATTGGCCAAATTCCAGCAATTTTTTGGCGTTTTCGGTGAATTCATGACGCTCTATTGAAAACGAACAATGATTTTAGTCTAGAGACAATTTCAAGCATAGAAGGTATAAAATGCCATACTCACCGCTGTAGTAAACGAAGCAATTGTGGAAGATGTTTTGCAAGTCATTGGTGAACGCATAGAAACTATCGTAGATACGGCCATCAACCTTTTTACATACGGCTAAATCGATCGGATTGACGACAGCGTTGTGGTGTTTCGATTGCTTCTTCCAATCAACCATGTATTGCAGCACTTTGAACTGAAATAGTAGAAAAGAGCAACGTGAAAACAACGTAGAATATACAGAAAATTTAAAATATGGCAATATTTCGTGTTGCGAAACAACTGGCCAGCTGCTAGTTAACACTAGGTGTTGCAGCAATAATCTTGCTTTCACTGGTGAATATTACATCGACCGTGACTTTAAACATGCTTCAGCGACACCAAACTTGCTACATTGATCGACTTGCACAGTAAAAATCAGTTGGCGTCAATGCAACTGCTGTGCATGTTGCCGAAACAGCTTTTTGGTTCGGATCTTCTTCACAATGCCAATACTAGCCACATGCAAATTGCAAACATTCGTATTAAAACAAAAACAACTCACGTCGGACACGCTCAAAACCTTGGCCATTGTGTACTTCAGCAAATCCAACGACTCTTGTCTGCAAATAAATTAGTTAACAGACACTGTTCTCCTCACCTAACATTCTCTCTTTACTCACTGTCCATGGCTGGTGGCCGCTTCCATTTCCAAAGCGCTGCAAATCGCACATTCAATCGTATTGGTCGATGTATTGATGCGGCAGTTCTTGGCATTGACCTTCAAACACTTATCATGGTACGAGCGGAAACATTTGGAACAGCTGATTTTTAGGCTTTTTTCATGGCAATAGTAGCAAAACTTATCACGAACATCCTGTAAAGCCAAAAATTGCGAGGCCTTGTACGATGATTAACAAAAATGGTTTTTCTTTCAATCGAATCTCTACCATATCGAGCGACTTACCAAACTTTCTGATGATCTTACTGTCTGTGCCAATTTATTTTCCATTCTTTGATTATCATGCACAAACCAAAGCAATTAGATTAATTAATCGAGAAAAGTTCGCAACAAAATAGAGCATTCACCATGAAGTCACACGTATGTGTGGTTAGGTGTATTGCGACTGTCAAATTCAGAATGTATGATAGAAAAAACATCATCGATGAATGAACGCACGCAAAACATGACTTTTTAATTCAATTCTCATTTAAATAAAAAAGATTTAATTTATGGTATGGAAAATTCATATATGGCTTCAATTCACATTGGAAAAATATGTCTGGAAGAATGACGAAAAATCACGAAAATTTTCAAAAATATTTTTCATAACGAACCAATCGCACATTTTTACTTTTCCGCACACCCACTGTGTGCACACTGTGCAGTAAAGTATTGCAATCGCCCCAAAATGTTGAAATAGCGTTTTTCTATGCGATTTTTTTTTTTCAATAACAAAAATCGAATTATTTTCACTTTTTATATCTCGTATGAAAAATGTATTACAATTAGTATAAGTCTTGCATTTTAGTTAAATAAATAAAGAAAAATCGTTCTTTAAGATTGGTGAGTTTAATATTTGTTGCATTATTTGCATATATTTTGTATACGAATTAATGGCGATCTACACTGCCGACAGAAAGTTTAACGTTTAGTACGTTTAACGATTTTCATACAAAGTGCCGTTTTTCACACTTATCGCGGACCATGAAGGAGACATTTCCGATAGATGGTCTATTCAGAAGAAATTCAAATCACAGTATGGATTGCATTTCATCTGAAGGAAATAACTGACCGAAATGAAAACTGAACAAAGAATGTTATAACCTAAAAATCCATAAAAATTACTCGATGAATATGAAAAATCGAATAAATGAATCGAATAAAAAAATGCCCACCATTAGGCAATTTCTGGTCGATCTCTACATTCTAGTTATTATCCAGTAGTAATTGTTGTAAACTCTCTTCCGTCAGCCACTCGTCAAATCTATGAATGGAAAATGATTGCAAAACATTTATGCCAAATAAAAATGACTCAACAGGGGTCAATAGGTGTCGTCGATTAATACTTACCTATCGCTCCATCCGAGGTAGTGGACGAAATATTCGATTTCTTCGCCGATTTGATAACCGCTGTTCTGCAATATTGTTGCCTCATACCACGCTGCGCCATCGTAGGCTAAAACGGTATCACCTGAAAATGTATAAAAATGGATGAAAATCCAATCGGATGAAATCAAACCGAAATTTCAACCAATTACCATTTGTAAATTTTAATTCTGGCATGTTGCTAATTTAAATTGCTGTTCAAGTGCAATATATGTTCAGTGCAAAACAACAACAATATACATAACCAACGACGACCGTTCGTTGTATCCATACCGTCAGTAAATGTTGGCTTTTATAGATAATGTAAATGGTCTCTGGTCACCCACACGAGTCACCTGGAAATAGAAGAAAAATAGCATCAATCGTTACTTGTTGAGTAATTGGATATTTTTTTCATAAGATATTGTAAAATACGCTCGCAAGATCAATATTCGGTTCGTTTCAAGTTCAATGACGCGATAATTGATCTTTACATTGATACATATTTTCGCAATAATGTCTAATGCATAATGTCTAATTTTCACATGAAATCAACAATTATGCACACACATGCGCGCTGGGGGGGTTTTCCGGTTAAATTTTTAGGGTAAATTTTTAGGAGATTTACCCCCTCTGAGAATTTTTTTCTCAGATTTGCAATATAAATGTATAAACCAAAGCATGAAGATAAGGCAAAATTGCTTGCCAGCGCCACCAAATGACTCCATATGATTCTATATAGTTCTGCGGTTGCCAGCGGTACTAATCTCTAATAGAGCGTTGCCGAACTGTCATTATCGTCGTGCATTGGTATAAACAATAGCAAAAATACACTGATTTTGAAGTCAAACTCGCTTCGCATGCCAACACACAAGTCTATTTGTTTTCCTCATGCAAAATTGTTATTTTAGTTTTCCATATAAATACCCCCCTCCCCCCCTCGAGACCAAAGTCAATTTGACCCCCCCCCCCTGTGTGATTATGCAACATATATGATCATCAAAATCAATGTCGATGCATTGTCGATGTTGTTGTTGCCGATTATTCTAGTAAATTCCGCTTTAGCATGACGCAAATGAATATCCAATCACGAATTCCAACATGATTCGATCAAAAATACGTTATTAAAATGTGGCTCAATGTTTTTCGGGAAATAAATTTCAGTTCGGTAAAGAAAGAAATTTGGAAACAGTGCGGAAGAGTTAAACTTACAGATTTTTTTATCGTAAAAAAGTACAAGCCATGGATCCCAAAAATACATTATGTAAACTACTGGATTACACCTTTTACAGAATATCATTTGTTTCGGCATAATAAAGAAATATCAGATTGAGAGTTCTGAAGAAGGAATAAATTAAAAAAAATCGCTATCTCGGCTTTCGAATTTAATTGGATAAAAAGAGTTTTAAAGAATTACAAAACATGTTTTTTCATATAAAAAGAATATTCTTTGAATTCAAATGTTTAGATGCTTCGGTTCCTTGCATACTTTGGGTCGTTCAATTAAAAAAAGCTTTGGCTTTGAACGTGGAAAATATGAATTAATAATAGAGGATTGATTTGGATTGTTTAGTTCGTTTTGCTATAGGTTTTGATCCGTCCTACAGAGAAAAACCAAAAAGAAAAAATTAGTTCATCAAATTTGTTTCTCGAATATAAAAAATATAAAAAACCTGTATACCAAATTCCGCTTTCACGTCGGATTTCTTGTACTCTTTCAAATGTCTCCGTCCCTTGGCCCCATCCCATTTTCCAATTGTGCTTTAATGTCGTTGTTTTCCTCTGTGAGTGCCTGAATTACCTTGTCCATGTGTTTCACTTTTTCATTCAGTTTTTCGATGGCCTTTCGTGCGTTATTCATCAATGCTTCATGTTGGCGTTTCGTTTTGATCAATACTTGACGCTGTGCATGCCACTCATTTTTCTCATCTTCATGTTTCTTATTCAGTTCCTCAATTTCGTTGGCATGATCGTGCTTTGTTTCAATCAGCGCATTTTTTGTGTCCACAATTTCTAGATTCATTTCGGAAACAACGGTATGTAATTGTGCTGATAATTTCTTTTTCTTAGATTGGCAACCGGCAAGAGTCTCTTTTGTCTTTTTCAACTCGGTTTGCAGCGATTCCAATTTCAATTTGATGGCATTTTCGAAATTCATCGCACTGTTCTGGATAAATTTAATACTGTCGGCAATTTGGGACCGAAAGATCTGCGATTTGGTTGTGTCACAACGCGTGGATGATTCCATGTGTGATTCGATGAGATCATCGATACCTGAATCATTTATACTTGGGCTGGCTCTTGGATAGTGGTGGTCATGTTGAAAGAGTGTCGTTGTGTTGTCTTCATGGGCACTCTGGTGCTTGCTTTGCACGTCATTTTTTGCATGTCGGGAATAACGTCGTTTTTTCACCGGGGGCTTATCATCAGTAGCCTCGAAACAGGTGCTTTGGGTCGATCCGTCGGATGACACGTAGTCTGGAAACATTTGCTTCATATGACCAGATAAGTATGTTGATTTGAATGGTATTGATTTTGAATTAAAACATGAACGACCAAATTTTTCTTCGATGGATTTTCGGTACAAATCGATCTCCTGTGGGAAAAGAGACATTTTTTAACACACTTTGATTGGCCGCTGAGAATGAATTAAACAATAATAAATAAACCATGCTCATTGGAAATGTTATCGCTCACAGCTTGATTGATACAAGTGTCTCTTTGAGCCATTTTCAGCACCAAATAACACTGGCAGTGTGTATAATAACAGGGAGATGTGTATGTCTTAGGTGAATGAAAAAATATCTCACCTCCAATGAGGATCACTTTCATCCGATCTCATATTCGGTGTTTCGGTCGAATAAATGGTGCTTTTTGAAATACTGCGGCTATCAACGTTGACAAATTCCGGATGACCGAATAAAATGATTGTGCTTTCATTACTACCGATAGACACCAATTTCGCCGGCCAATATACGAAACCCTTTCTCACGGGCCAAAAATCCAATGAACGATTCAGCTTCACCCAGCTAAAGCGGCGTAACGACAATGAAAATTATTTTAGTCCAGAGACAATTCCAAATTTCGATGGTACTCACAGTAGAAGATGAGGCACCGCACAGGCTCTTGTGCGCCAGTCATTCGGGTACATATGTTTGCTTTTGTAGCAATCTGAACAGCTGGAAATGGCCTGAGTTTCGAGAGTGCAGAACTCAAACAATGATCGGGCGGCTTTGGTGCGCTCATGACGTCCTGTAATTGAATAAAAAAACACTATTTAGTCAGCATCATTGATAGATATCACCCAATTTATTGCATACCGCCGTAACAAATGCAACAATTATGCAAAATACATTCGATATCTATGAGGAATGCGAAAAAACTTGCATATCGTTGACCATCGATGTTGTCGGCAATTGTGTCCAAGTCAATTGGATTCACAGCGGTGGCGTTGTAACTTGAGTCCATATTTTTGAAAACACGAAACTGAAAAGATATGTACAAAGGTGTGAATAGAGAGTCACAAAAGATGTTGAATGTGCCTTTTAAGGAAGTTTTTTTTAATCGAACAATAATTGAAGTCGCGATATGATTGATAATCGAACTTACCTTTGGCTTTTTCAAAACATTGGCCATAGTGTACTTGAGCAAATCGAGGATGTCTTGCCTGAAAATTGATGAACAATCAAAGCGAATTTTCGGAATTATTACAAGCAGAGGAACGACTGGCAGGATTTGTGAATTGCGTTGAATGAGTAGTCGCCACTTTTGACTGTCACATGATTTTTACGCGGTGACAATATGAGTCTGTGCTATATTTGTGGGTAGATCTTCCCGACCTTTCTGACACTGACCATAAAGTACACTCTCTATTCAAAGCAGTTCACGTCCTCCAAAGCAGGCATTGGTTGATGCTTCGTCAACTGTGCAAACAATACAATTACTTCCGACATTCCATCGATGATTTGTCATCGGTTTCAAGCACTTTGGATGAAATGATCGAATGCACGTGGGACAACCAACTGAACAGATTTTCGTGCACTTTTCATGGCAAATCCAACAGTACTGATCACGTTGATCCTATCGAATGAAAAGTCCAATTAGAGATGCGGTATTTAACACTCAAACATTCATACTGGAAATAAATTCTGATTGGAATAATTGGTACTTACTTGTGTTTCACTTGTTGATTCCATGCTCAAACGTTTCAGAATGATATTTTTCGCCATAATCGAGATTATTCGGGAACTTTTTCGTATTATTTGTGACGTGTCACATGAATTAAGGTTAAGTGACGCCCAATTTAAGACAAATCAATCAATAGACGCCGTGAGCTATGTGTCAAGGGTGCGTTCGTTGTGGATGTGAATTTGGCGCGAAACATGAGACCGAAAATAACATTCTTGATTCACAAAGATGCTTTTTTCGGGCCAAACTGATACAAATGTTTGGATTTCTATAATGATTTCTATCACAAAACTCATCATTTAGAGAAATTACAATCACTTAATAAGGAATTTTTAAAACAAAAATGACTCTTTTATCTATTTGAATTAACAGCTTTATGGAAAAATGTAAAATTTAAATTTTCAATCGATTGATGATTGAATTAGTGTAATAGAAGTCTAGATGGAGTGAATACGTTGTAAATCAATGTAGAGTGTGTTGAAAACCACTCAAGATAAACATTTTGACATTTTTTGCTAGAAATTTTTGCGAACAAATTCAATCTTCGTATTTTTTATCATAAAGTTGTTTCTAAATGGTATTTAGTAAATACAACAAAAATTGATTTGAATAAAGTTTTATTATTATTTGTGATTCGTTTCAAATACATAATTCTTCCATGTAATATCAAACTATACTAAATAGAATTCAGAAAAAAGCACGGCTTTTCACTCCAAATGTGTGATATTTCGCCTTATTCATTGTCAGTGAAAGATGTCTTTGCTTGCTTCTTATAATCATCAATGGCACGTTCAACTTCGTCGCGCAGATTCTTTTGATGTTGTTCGCGAATCTCGTCTATCTGTGATTGATGTTCTTTTTCCAATTTTTCTTGAAATTTTTTCATCATTTTCCGGTGACCAATTTCAAGATTTTCGCGCAATTGTTCCGCTGAATTTTTATGATTTCTCTTCAACGTGGCAATCTTCTCATTTGCTTTGACCAGTTCATTTTTCGTATCCGAATGTTCGGAATTCATGACTTCAATTTGTACCATCAAGGTTTGATTTTCGGCATGTAATTGTTTGAGTGATTGATTCAGTTTTTTCATTTCTCTGGCATGATCGTTTTTCACAACGTCCATTGTTCGTTTGGCTTCCGAACTCTGTAGAGTTTTCATGATCTCGACCGTTGTATTTCGTTCAAGCAATTTCCTCTGCAAATCGTTGTTTTTTCTTTCCAATTTAGACAAATTTTGTTGTAATTTTTTCTGGTCGTGTTCAATGGCATCATTTTTTTGTTCAATCCCGCGATGCAGAGAGCCGCTTTCTTCAGTCAACGACATCAATTTATTAGGAAAGTCCGTGTCATACGCGTCTTTTATCATAGTTAATCCAGGTGCAATGCTTGCATTCATTTTTAATTGGTTGCGCTCAGAAATTACGGCCTTCAAACGTTCGTTCAACTCCTTGTTTAATCTTTGACTATTAGCGTATTGACCTTTTAAGGCGTTCCATTCATTTTGTTGAACCTCGAATTTTGGCAGTAATGTACTACTCAACAAACTCACCACCTGTCTGAATTCGTTTAATGTATCATTTTCATGGTCGTTCCGCTGCTTTTTAGCTGAAATTTCATCGATGCCAGTATTATTATCGGCACAGTCTTCATCGGGGACATCTTGAATGATTTCGTTTTGTATTTGCGTACGGTCATTGTCAATCCGCCGCTTTTTAGCTGGATTTTCATCGATGCCAATATTATCAATGCGGCCACCATATGAGGTACTTTCTTCATCTTGGATGCGGATGAAATTATTATGCGTCGGCAAGCTGTTGTCATAACCCGAAAACATGGCCTTCGTGTGTTCCTTAATACGATCCAAATCAAATGGTGTGCATGGCAATGTGTCCACAAAACGGCAATTGAACTTCCTTTGAACGTTCGCTGCATACTGTTTCAGCTCCTGCAAATAAAATGATTAGAATCAAAGGTCCATCTCCAAGCTTAGCTAAACAATGATCACTGCTCAATAGACGTTAGATTTACCTCAATGGCTGCAGCCATCCATGAACCATCCATTTGTTGGGCCTCGTTGATTGTGTCGGTTGTATACAGTTGACAGTTTTCTTGTGAAATATTGACAAATTTGTCATCGTCAAAGAAAATGACTTTGATTTCGCCCCGATTAGCTGTGCCGGAGATAAACTTGGCTGGCCAATACTTAAACCCTTTTTCGATTGGCCAAAAGTTTAACGAACGCGTAGCTCTGACTGGTAACTTTGCCCATAGCAACAAATGTTGTTTATTGCAAGCAATTGTGCGCCATTCCATTGGCTTCAAACGTTTGTTTTCATAACAAATCGTGCAGCTGGAAATTGCTTCTGTTTCTTGAGTACAGAATTTCAATAAATCGTAGGCCTCTTGCGCAAAATTGGGATTTTCTGTGAATTTAAAAAAATTCCATCAATTTCATCACACCTTTCTGAAATAGGGGTGTAGCTCACCTGAGTATATGGCACAGGCACAGTTGTGATAAAGGCACTTTACATCTACGATGAACGCATAGATACTGCTATACCTAAGGGGAGAATCACAAAAGAAAAGAATAGAATTAATTTAAAGTAATCGACTAGTAATCAAAAAACAATCGGAAACATATAATGAAAAATTTGCTATACCGTTGGCATTTGACATCGTTATTGATTTTACTGAGATCAATCGGCACCAAGATCTCTTTAGATGCCTTTTGCCAACCGGCGGAATTCTTTAGTTTAAGGAACTGAAACGGAAAAATGACCATATCAACTAGATGTCAAAACAAAAACAGATCTTGCCCGCACCCCGCACACCCAGTATGGAAAGGGTATTATTGGTTACACTCACGTTTGGATTGCGCATCACATCAGTTATTACATACTTTAACAATTTCAATTGCTGTCGATTGCTAGAAAAATATACCGAATAGAATTTAAATATTAGTCTTTGTCATTCAAACAAGTGGTTGATGCGAATGAGACTTACTTGACGGCATCCTTCGATTTGCGCATCATAATGCATACCGAACATATTTTCGATTTTGTTACGCCAACGTTGTCCAGATCAGGGTCCATGCACGTTTGGTGGAATGATCGAAAACAGGTACAACACTGGATTTCTGTTTGTCCAGTATGGCAAGTCCAACAATATTTATCGTGACCATTCTAGAGAATCCACGATAAAAAAAAGTCCACATTAAACATACTAAATTGTTATTTTCCACGATCTGTGACGATAAATACTTACCTTGCCCTTTTTGGCACCTCTAGTTCGAGTTTTTGTTGACATGTTTAAACAGGATGATTTTCTTGACAAAAATTACGAGTTTTTCAACAAATGTGTAGCAGTGCGATTGAACATACAACCAGCCATTGACAGTTAACAGTTTGTGGTTAGAGTTATGCTACGATGATGTTCATATGATGAGCACGTTCATGAGCTATGAGTGAGTTCATTGCGGATTTGAAAAAATTGCGTAATCAAATCAATTAATTGAAGTAAAAAGGAACAATAGATTGTGGAAACGAAAGTTTACTTTATTGATTTTAACTCTCAATTTTTTTACATTTTATTTACTATTCTTCAATTTGCGTCATCAAGTCAGTGATCTTTATTTGATGTTCAGTGAGCATTTGTTCTTGTGTTTTAACATTGAGTAGACATACTTCATATTTTGATTTTGCAGACAATTCCAATTCAATGGACTGATTCAGTTCACCATTCTTCTGCTCAATCTCGTGATTTAGTAAACGGATTCGATCATTCAAGGTGTTTAGTTCATTCTGTTGAACATCAAATTTTGACTTCATTTTACCTTGCAGATCTAGCAACTGTTGAAAGCAATCCACTTCACTTGTTTTTTCGCTGGAATTTCGTCGCTGTCATCCGAAATATGTATCATTTTCTTCATCTTGTATGCTTGCGAGATTCTTCTGTGTTGTATCAACTATTGGCAAACTATCGTTGTAGCCCGGAAACATGGCATTCATGTGTTCATCAATACGATCCAAATCAAATGGTGTGCATGGCAATGTGTCTACAAAACGACAATTGAACTTCCTTTCAATGTTCGCTGCATACTGTTTCAGATCCTGCAAATAGAATGATTTTTAATTCTATGAAATTCAACATTTTAGTTTAATTAAACAGTCACAGGTCATAAGAACTTACCTCTAAAACTGGATTGATTTTGTCTTTCTGATTACGTCTTTCATTGATAGTTTCTGACATTTTGGTTGTATACAGTTGGCAATTTTTCGGTGAAATATTGACAAATTTCTCATCATCAAAGAAAATAACTTTGATTTTGTCCCAATTGGCTGTGCTGGAGACAAGCGGGGTTGACGTATATGAGATTGGGAACTTTTTTATGCGAACGCAGCTGATCAGCGCCATCTCACATTAGTTCGAATTAGATCGAAAAACTGAATTTAATTCTGTAGCATTGAAATGAAAAAGAGAAAAAACAACAACAATAGCACGGCCACACAGAGCTGTACATCTATGCGTGCTGATGCATACATACACATATACGCTTTCTTCATTCTTTCATTCCATTGTTATACGTATCTCACTGGTCAACAGATCTATGTAGCCATGTTACTGTTGTTGTTTTTTTCTCTTTTTCGATTCAATTCATTGTAACTAAATTGAGTTCAACTGTGGAATACAAGATGGCACAGATGAGGGGAATTCGCATTTTGTCTCTTCATAGGCTTAGCCGGTTGGCTGGAGATGAACTTAGCTGGCCAATACTTAAAACCTTTTTTAATGGGCCAAAAGTTTATGGAAACCGTAGCTCTGGATGGTATCTTTGCCCAGAGCAACAAATGCTTTTTATTGCAAGCAATTGTGTGCCATTCGTGTGGTTTCAAACGTTTATTTTCATAACAAATCATACAACTGGAAATTGCTTCCACTTCATCTTAACAAAATATGAATAATTCTCTGGCCCATCGGGATAATGAGGGATGTCTGTCTGTGAAAATTTTTGAAAATGAAAAAATAATTCAATTCTTCAAAAAAATCATATATATCAACGAGAAACGAATACAACGTGGCGTACTTCTGGTCCACAAGGTTCTTCTTGATTGCATTGAGATCAATTGGCTTGACAATCTTTGGATTGTTTGTAAAATTTTGTAAATTCTTCAGCACATTGAACTGAAATGTACAAATTAACGCAATTTTAACAATGTGGTTACAAAAAAATCAAATAAAGGTCTTATTTCTGGATTATACACACATCTGAGTTACGTTCAACTTCAGTCATTATATAGTTCAGCATTTTCAATTGATCGGGACCCCTAGAAAAATATGACGAATAAAATTGAATTGGTAAACCTTTCTTATTTGAACAAATCATAGATGCTACACAGAGAGAAAAAATGTGGTATTCAATTTTGGTAGATTTAATATAAAATCAACCAACAACGAATTAGATTTACCATTTTTGACATCTCTGAGGCATATTTTCCAAAAGAGACTATTAGTTGAATAAGTTTTACCAATTGATTCACCAAATTCATGAGGTCGCGTCATAAGAATCATTACTAAGAACTAATAAAAAAGAAGACAAAATAAATGAACCCATAAAAAATATGTATTTGTCTTTAATTTTGATTCTTATTATGCTTCATTCGATTGAAGGCTGAACGAAAAATGCCTTGCTAGTTATTAGGTTTATCTATCAAGCTTAGAGCCTATCGCAGTTTATTTTATATAATAATGGATTTTAATTGATAATAGCAATGGGAGGAAATGACAGCAAATTTCGATTCGAGTTGTAAAATTACATTGACGTCCCCTTTGAAATTCGGTGCGCCACCGTCGGCTCAAAGAGACTTGAAGTCTTCACATCCTCTCATTGGATAAAAGTATGTTTTCTTAATTGCATTTTACTTGAAATTTTTTTTGCATATTTTGTGATTTTCCATATTTGGTCGTAATTTCCTGTTTTTTGTGCATAGTAGATACCTACCAATTTGTGTATTCACAAATGTGTATTCAAACTTTCACCTATAGATGGCAGTATGACCCAACACAAGCGCTACAGTGGACATGAGAAAGAAAATTATCTGACATATGACATATTTGTTTTCCTTTGTTATTGTAAACAATTCATAAAAGTCGTATTTTCTTCTCATCAACTACGTACGAAATTCACATTATTTTACAATATAATCTAAATCAAACAATATTATCAATATGGAGTCGAAATATATCGATCAATCAGAAAATTTTAATGCTGATCAATGGAAAAAATCAACTCTCAATATGTTGGAAGTGGATGAGATCAACATCTGAAAATGATGCGAAAAGTGAACGTGATGATTTTAAGAATGATCATTTTCAAAATGAATCTTTGGACGAATACGAAAAAAAATTCCAGTTGCCGAACGCAAATTTCTTGACGAATCATGTCAAGCTATATACGCCGAAATATGGTTAATCAGACAACGAGCCCATGCAAGAGTTCTAAGAGGAAAGCAATTGATTGCAAAGTAAGTGTTTTGCTAGGGGAAAATTTCGAATAAAATAAGTTACGAATATGCTGCGTATAAGAATATAAACCGCATATACGGAAGAATATTTGCAAATAATATTTGCAAATAACTTCGTATATATGTGGTTTATACGCAAATATGCAGCGTATATGCGGCATACTTGCGATGTCTTCATCTATTTGTAGTATATTCAGTAAAAAATACTTGCGTATAAACCGTATAAACATATAGATAATTCCCCCTAGGTGTTTTGTCATTGCAATTAATTTTAAATTTGAGTAAATTGAATATATTACTTTTCAGGATACAAATGAAAAAAAAAATTGCCATAAAGCAACAACAATACACTGAATATGCAAATGACATTTGTGATATCACGTTTATAATAGAAAATTAGTGAAAAGTTGATTTTAAAAGTTTTTCGTTCAATCTTTTTTTTTTTAAACACAAAAATGGAAGAACAATATGAAGAAAACCAAGGAAATTGTCTAATCTGCCAAAATGATCTGGAAATAGGCGAAGCAGATAACCCTCATCCGAAATTTACTTACAAATGTCTTGAATGCGTTGCTGTTTCACATGTATTCTGTTTGGCTCAATGGATAAATTCGTTCGTTCGTTCGTAGGCAAAAAATATTTTTATTTTGTTCGTTCGTTCGTTCGTAGAAAATAAAATGTTCGGATTGTTCGTTCGTTGTTCGTAAGGTGTTCGTTCGTTTGTTCGTTCGTTGTTCGTAGGAAAAGTATGAAAATAAAATAATTATTTTATTAGTGAAATCGAAAGAAGATGAAGATGCTGAAATTCTCTCCTTTTTACTTTGAGTTAATGCTGAGGCAATGAAGCAACGTTCCGAATATACAAATGTATATTAAGTTTATATTCACAGTACACAGAAAATATATCTACCAACTATTTTCGTCACAAAATTGATATCAGAAATTTTGTGTTTCAAATGTAGGTTTCGTCACTCGTTCTTCACCTCGATAGAGGTTTTTTATTTGATATCAATAGTTTTGTAATTCAATGTTAAAGATTCAAGAAACATGAATTTGAATCTTTTTCAAATACAATGAA